TTCAGAGCCTTGGAGATTGAAAGCAAGATCTGTAATCGCATTCGTTAGGTTATGATTTTGAAGTGCTATATAATAGCATCGGTGAGTCATATTTTATTCCACTGGTAAATGACTCACACTCTAAGTCTTAGATGTCAACAATGATTGCTTCCGCAAGACGCGGCAAATACCCATTCGCGCTTAACGACATTGAAAAGAGAGCGTTATCAATGAGAAAGTGTGCAGTGTCGGATGAACGTCGCCTCGCAAAACAGAACCTCGTTAAATGTCACTCGGCGCGCGTTCGGAAGTTGAGCGCGGAGCAAATGGTAAAAGAGCCGTGTTAAATAACGACAGCTGTATTTCACGAGGGCAGGCCGTCGGACATTAACCCGACTAAGCGTAGCGGCGGCAGGGCGGGAAAATCGAGGAGCACTAGACTCTCCGAGCGGCGCGCAACATTCGCCGCGGAAAATGCTAATTGCGCTTTAAGAGCAGCAGCCCTTTCTAAGGTGCTTCTCGCTCGTAATTGCGGCTGCCGCGCATTCCGTTATTGTTCGCGGAGAAACAAAGAATGGGACGACGGTGGCCCCGAACCCTGTTCATTGATTATCCCGCGAGCGCTCCAATTCTTAGACCTTATTCCCGGCAATTCGCAATATCAATACGAGGATGAACGATGAACGAATGATTATATTTCGTATCGAGTGTTATTTGTGCGTCGTCGAATGACTTCAGGCTCGTGTTCCGCAATCTTAGCGGCTCCAGAGTTTATTGCTCCGCGTTGGAAAGTGTGGATTAAGCCATACGGCTCGTTATTTAGTTAACCGTGAGGTCACGGCCCGCTTTCCGAAAGCCTTGAATTTTTCTTTTTGCAAAGACGAATATTGGAGTACTCTCGTAATCAATCGCCGAGTGCCATCCCAAGAATATCCACGAATTGTTTTCGTTCGACGACTTTTAAGAGCGATTGGGTAAAGGTATCTGCAAACTTCCCTCGTTACGTAAAGAGCTGCGCGATACGAGTTAACAAGCGTCATTTGCGTTTTTCAAATGCGAAGCGGAAAATACATCCTCGCGTACAAGTCGCAAACTCATTAGTTGTTATTCAGGAGTAGCAATTTCACGCTTAGATGTACGGCAAATGATACGTACGTCAACGTGCGTGCGTGCGTGAATGCGCGCGTGCGGTTGAGAAAGAGAAAGAGAGAGAGAGAGAGAGAGAGAGAGAGAGAGAGAGAGAGAGAGAGAGTGAGCGAGTGAGCGAGTGAGCGAGTGAGCGAGTGAGCGAGTGAGTGAGGGGGGGGGGAGATATCAAAGACAAATAATACTTTGCGTAATATCGACGATGATGAACGTGAAAATTTTCGCCTCTACACAATTCGTCGTACCTCAATAAGAACAAAAACAACATTTTCCGCATTTTCTCTGATTCCGTTGCTCCCTTTATGTACTTACGAATCCTATGATTAGCAGAGTTTCTCCCTAGCACTTTATTGCTCGTTTAAAGCAATCATTGATTATCTTATTACAAGCTGAAATTTGCCAAGAAAATCATAATATTGGATAATACGCTAATGTTTATAAGTACTCGAGTAATTTTACTTACGTGCAAGCCAAGTTTTTGAACAATCGACAAGTTCCCTTGAATTTAAATACAATATATTTTACACGACTCATTCGAAATAAGCTATATTATAATTGTAATCAGTTCCTTTTACAGAGTGGAGACGTTTGACGACAAATATTTGCTTCGCGATTCACGCTTCGCAATAATTCTCATGTCACAAATCGGTAAAATTTAAATTTCAGTTCAATAATTGTATTTGAAAAAGATTGTCTTTCCCATAAGACTGCTATCCTTCATTACACTTTTAAAAATGTTTCCTTATGAGATGTGATTTATAATTCCTCTTGTTGATTTAAAAGAACATTTATTCCGCGCATACTTTCTATTTTCAAAGCTTTATATATATTCATATTTTATTGTATATATAAAAAAAAAAAAAAAAAAAAGTTTTATCTCACAATACGCGATTCTCGCAAACAATTTCGTCTATTATAAAGAAATTTAAAAAATAATTGATTATTTAATTAATGCGAGATCACAAAATTGTCTCAGATACCTCATTGTACAAGTTTATTATTTTAAAGTAAATTAACATCATAATTGTAAATGAAGATTGTCAAATATAATCGCATGTTTTAACTTGGAATTTATAATTATTACTTACATCCTTTCATATAATGGATTAATTTACTCAAGAAGAAAGTTAATTATCACCTGCTGTATCATTATTACAATAAGTTTTCATTTAATAAAAAATATGTGCGAAAATGATAAGTTGTTGGTTTGTAGAAAAATAAGTATTTCAAACTTAATAAGGAAAAAAAAAAAACAATTAAATGGCATCATAGCGGGAAAAACAAAAGTAAAAGTTAAATATACTTTCATGATGTATAATTTGAATCACTAGACACGGAATTATGTACAATCAATATACTCATTTTGCAATTTTTTGTTATCAACAAATGTTTTCCTTTTGTATCATACGTTTTTAAAGAATAATATGGTAATGAAAACATATATCTTTTAATAAAATATATATAAATATGTATACATATCTAGTAAAAAATTGTCAGACTTGTACACAAAATGTAAATTTATTATATTTTTAATATTAGCATCGCATCCACGATTCAAGTTTTTTTTTTTTTTTTTTTTTTTTTTTTTTTTTTTAAACGTGTATATATAAATTAAGGGATGAGTTGACACAGTTGAGAATTTCACACATTAATCATTATTCTTGATAGTATTTTTAAAAGACTCAATAGCAACAAGTTTTTGTGTAAATTTAAATTTTATATTTACAGTCATATATGAGAAGCCAGCAGTATATCCTTTTCTTCTTCTATTCTCTCTAAGACAAGATTTCAGTTTGAAATTTAAATACATAATTGATTGTAAAATTCATTCCATTTCAATCAGCTTCATGATGATTATGTGTGCATGAATTGTTCGTTAGGAATCTTACTTCTAACATGCTCTATTACATCGTAATAAACTTTAAATAAATAATAATTTATATTTAAATTTGAAAGTAGTTATAAAAAAATGCTTTTATTTAGGATTAATACATCATAAATATTAAATACTAATAAAAATGTATAATTTGTAGTTTCTGAAATCATTTGTATTATTAAACGCATTTCTGGCATTTCTCACGCTTCTTTTATTATTCATATTACGTAGGAATGAATTTTGGAAGCTTCCAAGTAATTCAAGAGTATCCGATTACTATATACACCCATTGTATTACACCTATATATTATACATTATTTATTAGTTTATAAACATCATAATATAATTATCGTTTCATACAATTATACTGAGTTAGCTTTTTCATTTACTTTTAAATAAATAATTGAAAAAACCGATTCGCTTAATGTTTCCTGTAAGTTGTCTTAATTGCTTTAGATTTCCAAAATTGTTCTTATAAAGTAAAGTCTTAACAAGGAATTTAACCGTTAAAAGTGGAATAGCTAGTCAGAAACCAGTCAAAAGTGGAGTATGTGACCGGTCACTTTCCGAATGCACTCGTACATTCAAGTTTTGACGTAAGCAACAAAACGTGCTTGTGCTCGATGAAACGGTACATATCACTAATTACTAAACTAATAATCTTCGTTAAATTAATCAATTAAAGTGTAGTCGCTGTATTCTGTTTACAAAGGCATTTCATTTTTTGCTACGATTGTCTAATGTTCATAATAAATTATTTTATAGGGCAGTTAATGATATACTTTATATCTTTCAAACGCGAAAGAAGAAAATGTTTTAATTAATTATAATGTTAAATAATTTCATATTTCTACATTATAAGTGTGTGAGAAAAATTTGAAATTTTGTTTGCAAGCAGAAAGCTATTAAACATAACATTTTTGTTAAAAAAATGTTATGCCACTATATCGAACTAACAAATTAGTCTAGTATTACTTTTTGCAACATTGATACTTATTCAGTATATATGCGTATATATATATATATATATATATATATATATATATATATATATATATATGCGTGTATATATATATATATATATATATATCTTTTGTTGCAATTAATTGTATTAAAATATAAAATTTTTAAATAATAATTAATGCAACATTAACAATTAGTATTAAACATTAAATCACTTAAAGGTACGAGTTGATATAACACGTAATAGACGCTATTTTGAGCAACGTGATATTAACACAATATTATGTTTAATAAATATGCAGATTTTAATTGTACTTATTATTTTAAATCAATAGCTCACAGGCATTGCAAAAGAAACGATTAAAAATATGAACTTGTTCACGGGCACATGTATATTAATAGTTTGTTTGAAAATTTATACCAATATGATTAGCGTTAGAGTAATTTACTCCATATTATTACACGACATTTTTTAATTATCGCAACTCAACGGTACATTGACATTTTTTATGCTTCACAGATTACGGCTACAATTTAACTTAATACCTTAAATGATATATTACAAATCAAAATGAAAAATGTGCTAGATTAAACGGCGGGGCGGCGTGGTGGTGGTGGGGGGGGGGGCATAAAGAAAAGATTATCCATTCATGAGAAATCAATTATTGTAGACGGTAAAAATACAAAATCGAGTTTAAATAAAAGCGAGGCCGATGACAAGTAGTGGAATTCGTGCAAAACGACTTGGCGGCCAATATCCACCTGTAGGACTTGGGGAGTGCGCTATGAAGTTGGCCACCGCTTGGTTCCAACTTCGCGGGACTCATTCGAATATTTACGTTGGAGCGAATTCCTGGAGGGCACGATTGTCGGAGAGGCGAATATCGATAGGGGTGGTATGGGATTACAGCGGCCTCAAATATCTGACCTGTCCGAGATTCGTAATGGTCGGTTCGAAGGGATTCGCCGATTGGCCCCGTGACAGGGGCTCTCGAGTCCGAGACATAAGATCAGGGGACACTTTTGCGCTGCTCACCTGAATCTGCGCCCGCTTGACCTCCGTGTAGAGCCAGTTGTCGGTGGAGAAGGCGATGGCCAGGAGCGCTGTGGCGATTATGCCGGTTATGGTAGCCAAGGAGAGGGTGACCGCGGAGCACGGCATCGTGGATATATCTCTTGAATCTTGATCACTCGTCTTTAAACTTTACTTTCGATCGCACCACTGTCTCGCTCGGGGAGGAGGGAGGATCTCACGTGGAGGAGGTCGCACGCTGCTTATACCCTGGCATATTACGCGGCGCGTGTATGGGTGTGTGTTCTCGACACGGTCCTATGGATCGGTACGAGGAGGCGCGCGACTCTGGACTGACAACGAGCACCGAGCGGCCACGGCTTAACGGGCTCCGGTTCTCCCTCTCCCGCACGCCGTGGGGGATACAGCCAGGGAGTTCGGACGGGAGAACAGCGGCGACGGTGACGACGAGGAGAAAGAGGTGGTGGTTGAAGTGGTTTATGAGGAGGAGGAGGAGGAGGAGAAAGAGAAGGACGACGAAGGCGACGTGTCTTTCTCGGAGGAAAAGAGAGATACAGAGAGAGAGAGATTACACATACATACGTGCGTGCGCGCGCGTATGTATGTGTAAGTGTAAGAGGAAGGGAGGGGAAGAGATATATAGAGTGAGAGTGAGTGTGTGAGTGAGTGAGCGAGGGAACCGGAGCGAGTGCGGCAAGGAGTGGGAGAGGTTCTCGGGTCCCAGGCCCAAGCCGGCCGTGTGCGAGCACGTATATGAGGAGGCTCGTCGGGGAGTGGGGAAACTGGTATGCCGGATAGCAAACCAGACGGGGGGGGGGGGGGGGGGGGGCAC